TATTTCTTTTTTTTTTTTTTGACACAGGGTCTCACTCTGTCACCCTAGCTGAAGTGCAGTGGTGCGGTCATAGCTCACTGTAACCTCAAACTCCTGGACTCAAGCAATCTTCCCATCTCAGCCTCCCAAAGTGCTAGGATTACAGGCATGAGCCACCACACCCAGCCAGAAATAAATATTTCTAATAAATACTTACTAAGATCTGACACTATTCTAGGAGTCGGTGATGACAGAGATGAAAGCAGTAGCCTCTGCCTTCACAGAGTTTTTTGTTTAGTTCTACCTTTCCTCATCTCTTTCTATACTTTTATTGCACCTCTAGCCATCCTTTCCCCCATCATCCTTCCACAATCCAAGTGCTTGCCTTCGCCCTGCCCAAAGTTTCCCTATCAGTTTCTCCCCCAAAAGTCCCACGCACAGAAGTTACCACTACTGTATTTTCCCTTTCCCCCACCTCCCTGAAAACTGGCACTCCTTCAGCATCAGCATCCCATGGTCATTTTGAAAGGAAGAAAATCTTATTTGTATATTTGTATATCATATTTACTAGGTTGGCATTTTAAATAAAGGTTTAACCTACCCAAGGCAAACTCAATTTTTTAAAAGTTAACTTTATAACCCAAATAGATGGACTAGATGGGGGAGATTTCTTGAACAAGGGGGACTTACTTGTCCCCTAATATACTTTGGAACCATTGCCCCCAATATCTATCCCCAAGCAAAAACCAACTTAAAATCAAAATATAAACGTGTAATCTGACAGCTCTTTCAAAAGATTACGAACACCTGATTTATAAAAACTTAAGATAGGAATAACAGACATTTAGAGAGGAAAGGATCTTATTATTAGTCCAATCCCTCATTTTATAGCCAAATAAACTAAATCACAGAAAGTGGTCTACTTAAGGATACCCAGCTAGATATTGGCAGAGCTTGGGCAAGAACTCAAGTCCCTTAATCTAGTATTTTTTACATTGAGGATTTTGCCTCTAATAAATAAAGTTGAATTAATACTGATCCAAGGCACATCTTCTTTTTTTTTTTTTTGAGACAGAGTCTCACTCTATTGCCTGGGCTAGAGTGTCAGCTTAGCTCACAGCAACCTCAAACTCCTGGACTCAAGAGATCCTTCTGCCTAGGCCTCCTGAGTAGCTGGGACTACAGGTGTGCACTACCAGGCCCAGCTAATTCTTTATATTTTTAGTTGCCTGGCTAATTTCTTTCTATTTTTAGTAGAGACAGGGTCTCACTCTTGCTGAAGCTGGTCTTGAACTCCTGAGCTCAAGCAATCCTCCTGCCTCGGCCTCCCAGAGTGCTAGGATTACATGTGTGAGCCAGCACGCCTGGCCTCCAGGGCACATCTTAAGACATCTTCTTTCAGTAAATTATTTTGTGTCACTTGTTACCTGTAATTATTATGTGGTAAATATATTCCAAATTCTTAAGAGTTCTGATAAATGAAGGCTTCACTGTGTTTAATACAGAAAACAGCTAATTGAAACAAATCAAAATGAGAACCAAAAACTACTTACACATTACCAAAAGTCTCTCTCTGAAAATGATGCCAGATCTCAATTTGTGACTGCAGGTCTTAGAGTTTGAGAAATGCTGTATTAAAAAGAATAAGAATTGAACTTGAATTAATTTCAATCAAATATTTTCCCCTAATATGTCTATGGATACTTAAAATTTTGTTAACAATGATAATTTTCTAACAAACCAACTGCATTTGTTTTCCTATGGTTAAGAGCCATAAGCAATTTTCAAACACCAGCTCTTTCAGAAAACACATTTCAGTCAAGAATAGACATATTCTTAAAAAACAAAACGAAAACCAGCAGATAAGGGGGAGAAAGACAGAAAGCGAAATAAAATGTAAGGGTACAAAAGAGGAAGTACAGAGCAAGGAGTGTGAGAAAGACAAACATGCCTATTTCTGGGGCATTATGTATAATGTCTTATCCATAGAGGAAAAATATACAAATTTATGACAATTCAAATATAGACGCAAGTAACTTCCATATACATAACATGTTTCAAAGAAGTCAATACCCAAAAGTACTTTTCCTTTATTATAAATTTGAAAGATACTACAGTCAGCCTTCTGTATCTAGATTCCATATCCATGGATTCAACCAAATCGCAGGTTGAAAATGTTAAAAAATTAAATTAAAAGTAATATAGCAATAAAAATAACATAAATTTTAAGAACTATACAGTATAACAACTATTTACATAGCATTTAATTGTACTAAGTATTATAAGTAATCTAGAGATGATTTAAAGTATATAGGAGGATATAGATAGGTTATATGCAAATACATCTTTTTTTGGTCCAAAGTTGGTTGTTTTTATTTGCTTTTTTGTTTTTGTTGTTTGAGATGGGGACCTCACTATGTTGCCCAGGCTGGTCTCCAATTCCTGGGCTCAAGCAATCCTCCTGACTCAGCCTTCCAAGTAGCTGGGATTCCAGGCGTGTGCCACCACACACAGCTATGCCACTTTATATAAAGGACTTGAGCATCTGTGGATTTTAGTATCTGTGGAAGTGGGGTGCGGGGTGGGGAGCGTCTTAGAACCAATGCCCCATGGATACCTAGGGACGACTGCATTTAAATAGAATCAGTTATATCAAATTTCATCAGGGAACCAACGTCTTCTGATCAAGATAATAAGCAATGTGGTATTATGGGATTCAACATATCATTACCATATTTTCTTTAAATTGAGCAATTTAAGTTGTAGTTATGAATCATTCTAAATGCTAGATGGAAAGATGATGTCACTGACAAAGTCTTAAGAGTACAGCCAGATCGACTGTATTGTACGAAGTACTGTAGGTAAACTTTATAATAATGGACACATGCACACACAAAAGGAGTTTCAGTAAGAATTAAAAGCTTTTTCAGGAAAACAAGCTGAAGTACAGAAATCACAAGCACATCAAAAGGAAGAAACCACAGATTTAACCAACATGGAATATCTACTAATGACATGCAAATAAGAGCAGCAACAGATATAAGATTTACCTAACTTTGTTAGGTTCTTGATATGTGTGTCTGTGAAAAGTGGGAGAAAAGGGAAGAAAGGGCATAAATTATTCAAGTCCATAATTTGATAAAGTGTTTGGAAGGTGAAAAGGAATGAATGAGAAATAATGAATGTATAATTGTATTACCTTTTGGACTGCTAGAGATAGTCATAATAGATATATGTGTTTTTAGAAACTAGGACACCACTCTACCACAGGCTCCCTGAAAAATTTCAGGCAGTAAACATGGAGTGGTATATATATTTTCCAAATATTTCTAAAACCTTATTGCTGGCAGATAACAGACAATGTAAATACCGACCTGCTGACCTAATATCCAGAATCTACAAGGAACTCAAACTTAGCAAGAAAACAAATAACCCCATTAAAAAGTGGGCAAAAGACATGAACAGACATTTTTCAAAAGGAGAGAAACAAATGGCCAACAGACATATAAAAAATGCTCAAAATCACTAATCATTAGGGAAATGCAAATTAAAACTACAATGAAATACCATGAATGGTCATTATTAAAAAGTTAAACAATAGATGCTGGCACAGATGCGGCAAAAAGGGAAAGTTTATATGCTGTTGGTGGGGATATAAATTAGCACACCCTCTATGGAAAACAGTATGGAGATTTCCCAAAGAACTAAAAGTAGATCTACCATTCGATCCAGCAATCCTACAACTGGGGATCTACCCAAAGGAAAAGCCATTTTATAAAAAAGACACCTGCACCGGTATGTTTACAGCACAATTCACAATTGCAAAGACATGGAACCAGCGAGGTGCGGTGGCTCACGCCTGTAATCCTAGCACTCTGGGAGGCC